AGATGGTCTGTGACGGTGTATGAAAGATGGTGTGTGACAAAGTGGTGTGTGAGAAAGATGGTGTGTAAAAGATGGTGTGTGAAAGATGGTGTGAAAGATGGTGTGCGACAAAGTGGTGTGAAAGATGATGTGTGAAAGATGGTATGTGACAAGGTGGTGTGACAAAGATGATGTGTGAAAGGTCGTGTGTGACAAAGTTGTGTGTGAAAGATAGTGTGTGAAAGTTATGTGTGAAAGAAAGGGTGTGACAAAGTTGTGTGTAAAAGATGGTGTGTGACAAAGTGGTGAGCGAAAGATGTGATAAGTGAGGTGTGAGAAGTGAAGCTGTGATGAGTTGTGCTGTGATAAGTGAGGTGTGAGAAGTGGAGGTGTGAGAAGTGGAGCTGTGAGTGAGTTGCGTGCGTGCGTGCGTGCGTGCGTGCGTGCGTGCGTGAGTGAGTGAGTGAGTGAGTGAGTGAGTGAGTGAGTGGGTGAGTGGAGTGGAGTGGAGTGGAGTGGAGTGGAGTGGAGTGGAGTGGAGTGGAGTGGAGTGGAGTGCAGTGGAGTGGAGTGGAGTGGAGTGGGAGTGGGAGTGGGAGTGAGAGTGAGGGTGAGAGTGAGAGTGAGAGTGAGAGGGAGAGGGAGAGGGAGAGTGAGTGAGAGTGAGAGTGAGAGTGAGAGTGAGAGTGAGAGTGAGAGTGAGAGTGAGAGTGAGAGTGAGAGTGAGAGTGAGAGTGAGAGTGAGAGTGAGAGTGAGAGTTGAGAGTGAAAGTGAGAGTGAGAGTGAGAGTGAGAGTGAGAGTGAGAGTGAGAGTGAGTGTGAGGGTGAGAGTGAGAGTGAGAGTGAGAGTGAGAGTGAGAGTGAGAGTGAGGGAGTGCGAGGCGGCGGAGGAGGAGGGGAGGCGGGAGGAGGCGGAGGAGGCGGAGGCGGAGGAGGCGGCGGAGGAGGCGGAGGCGGAGGAGGCGGAGCGGCGGGAACCAAGCGAAAAACAAGAACCCCACACAGTGATGTGGGGAAAAACGAAGCAAGTCTGCAAGACCTCTTCAACTTTCGAAGCTGGCAACATCAGAAACGAAGCAATTCTGCGAGACTTCGCTCAAGAATGGAAAGTTGAGTGCAGAGCTGACGGCTTTGATGTAGCTGTAGCTCTAGTTGTAGTAGCAGCTGCACTTGTAATTGTAGCTGTAGTCTCATGTGCGTAGTGTAGTGTGATTTGTGTAGTGTAGTGTAGCTGGTGTAGTGTAAGAGTGTAATTGGTGTAGTGTAGTTAGTGTACTGTAAACTGGCGTAATGCATCCGTAGCTGCAGACGCAGCAGCGCAGTGTAGCGGTAGTGGCAGTGGTAGATGTAGCTGTCTTTTTTTATCTACCTATCTATCTATCTATACCTATCTATCCATCCATCTATCTACCTACCTGCCCATCCATCTATCTATCTACCGACCCATCTACCTATCTGTCTATCTATCTATTTATCTATCTATCTGTCTGTATCTGTCTGTCTATCTGTCTACCTGTCTATCTGCAAGCTTGAAAACGCAGCAAGTCTGCGAGTTTTTCCCTTTTTTTGAACTTGACAACGTTTAAAACGAAGCAATTTTGCGAGACATCCTCAAATTTTGAACTTGACAATGTTAAAAAACGAAGCAAGTCTGCAAGACCTCTTCAACTTTCGAAGCTGGCAACATCAGAAACGAAGCAATTCTGCGAGACTTCGTTCAAAAATGGAAAGTTGAGTGCAGAGCTGACGGCTTCGTGCCATTGTGTTTTGCGATTTTTCCATTCCATCTGTAGCGCGCCTGCCACGCAAAAGGGAGCCCAGGTCATACGAAGCGCTGCACCTGTCACGCAAAATCATCGTAGCAAACTTGAAAATCTGCTGCGCATAATTGCAACCCCTCTCAGGAAATCAGCGCCCGGACCTCTTAACATGTTTGATTCAAGTGTGACATGCATCTTGGCAGATCTTCTTCAAATGTCCCACGCCCGCAAGCATTCTTGAATCTGCTATCAAACCTTCACGTTTTCATCACTTCCGGCAAGGTGCAGAATCCCTTGCGCCTACCAAGCAAAACAACATCTAAACGTCCAAAAATGGCCCGAGACCGTCAGGTTTTAACACGTTTGACTTGAACATGTGCTTCGAGCCACAACGCTGTGCACTTTTTCAACATCTCAATTTCCAAAAGTGGCCTGAGACCATCAGTTTTTTACATGTTTCACTTTCAAATCTGCTTCGAGCCACAAAGGCGTGCACTTTTTCCAAGTATCAATGTCCAAAAGAGGTCCCAACCTACAGTGCTTTTTAACATTTTGGCTTGGACATGTGCTTCACTCCGGCGGTGCGGTGTTTTTAACCTTTTGGCTTGGAAATGTGCTTCGTGCCCAAACGGCGTGCAAATTTTCATATCTCATCTCCCACCCGCAACGCCGGAACACTTTTGGAAGCTGAGATGTTGAAAAAATGCACGCTGTTGTGGTGCGAAACATATTTCCAAGTCAAAATGTTAAAACACCGCAATGCCAGGGCACTTTTGGAAGTTGAGATGTCGCAAAAGTGCACACGCTGCAGCGCGAAGCACATTTCGAAGTCAAAATGGCTCCACATCCACTGCTTTAGCGAGCCTATTTTTCGACCCTCCGGAGCCACAAATCATTGGAAAACCACGGTGAATCGCGACTTTCCTACCTTTTCGCGCATCTGCATCTTCTTTCTTCTGATCTTTCTCTTCTCTTATCTTCTCTCTTCTGATCTTTCTCTTCTCTGATCTTCTCTCTTCTAATCTTTCTCTTCTCTTCTCTTGTCTTCTCTTCTCTTGTCTTCTCATCTCATCTTTTCTCTTCCCTTCTCTTCTCTTCTCTGCTCTGACTCTTCCCACCCCTGCTTGTCAATTTTGTCGAAAGTTTGACTTCCAAATTTCTTTCGCCTACAAGACATACATACACGCTCATGTGCATATACCTAGAGGCACAAAGGCATATCGGGAGCTCTTGCTCCGCACGAGACGCTCCAAACGGTGAGCCAGTGATAAGTAACGTGTATATGAAGGACTGATCAGGCAACACCTCAAAAGTTTGGAAACCATTTCTTATGGTTGATCACTGCGTAGCTGATTCTGTGGGTCGTTGACGAATGTAGATGAATATTTACCCATGTAGTGCGTACACAAAGTCACACAACATCGATACAGTTGCAGTGGTGACTGCAGCCCTCAGAAGAGCGCATGGTTTGTTTGTTTGCCTCAAGCGGGTCGGGCCAAAGTGGCATGAATTCAATGCAAATTTCAACGTGGAAAAATTGCCTTTTTTGGGGCAAGGGTTTTTTTCCCTTCCAAGAAGGTTTTTCCCTTGCTCAAAGGCTACAGCCCACATGCAGCCAATCGCCCAGGTTTTTAAGACCGTCGAATGTTGGCTGTTGGGGATTTTCCTGCCATGTCTCGTTGCTGGCATCAACTGATGTTCATGAAATGATGACCAACTTGTAGTTGCGCAGCAAGCAGGTTGTACATCCATGTAATTTCAAAAGTAACTATGTGTGTGTGTGTGCGTTACAAAACATACATGCATCATGCCATGTACATATACACAGACGCATGAGCCAGCTTTGATAACTAATTGCATGTATTCGGATAAACGACGGATCAACGCAACACCTATACTGTTATACATTTGAACACAGGCTCTCCATTTCTTGTGGTTGATCACTGAGGTCATTCTGTGGGACGATGACCAATATACATGAATATTTAATAGTTGCTATTGATTGTGCCGACGCTAAGTTACACAACATCAATATCAGCGTGATATGGCAATGCCTCGGCCAGTTGCCACCATTTCGGCCGTTGAACTTGTGAAGGAATCAGATCGCACCGTTTGTTTGTCTCCGTCAATCGGGGGAAAGGGGCATGATTTCAACGCAGCTTGAAGCCTGGAAAAAGATTGGACCATGGCATCCAGGTGCAGTTCAGATGTGTCGCCATTGGAACGCGATTCAAATAGGATGGAAGCATAACTGGCATATCACTGAAAGGAAACAATGAGGCCCAAAAACTCTGGGGGGCACTCTTAACCTTCTTTTAGACTGAAGTTGGTCACGTTGAGAAAAAAAATGCGAAAATGACGGAAAATTGTCAGATGTAGCGTTCATCTTTTGCATTGGTCTTTTGTTCGATCTGGGTCTCATTTGGTGCTACTTCTCAGCGACATTCTGGAGGTCACTGGCCCAGAATCCTGTTTGACGGTGAAAAGAGGTGCTGAACGCACCTTTAACCCTTTAATTGGTGTTATTCAAACTACCGGAATCTTCGGAATCCCTATCAACATCAACCAGGTTGGGGAACGGCAGATTTGGTGAACCGCTGTACGTGGGCTCCAAGCGGAAAGTGCCTGATTCGTCTGCGCAAAGCTCACCAGCGTATCTTGCCACTTGGCCTGCGTTGAAGAACTCATGGCAAAAATTGAGGCTAAAAAAACCAGATCTATCCAGATCCATGAATTGAAAATAGTTTGATTTGTTCTTATCTTTCCGATCATACCAGCTGTTGCACAGCCTCACATCAGCAAGGGCTTACACAAATTGACACATTGTCCGTTTGAAAAAGTGCAAAGAACTTCTGTGATGTGAAGCGGGATTGGAGTTTCAGCAAGATCCAAACAGCAGTTTCTGAATGGTTTGATCCCACATGGGGCTGGCAGTTGATCCCGTAAGACCTTCAAGGGCTTCCCATTGAACCTTTGTTTGGACGGGATTTGGATTGGTGTTTGGTCCCAGATAGAAGTAGGTTTCAATATGTTTCAATCTATACCAGAATAAGTTCAAATGTATCAAGGAACGATAATAAATGTCTACATGGACATCATGAGTGGATTAATGGATCCAGGAAAATCCATTGCAAAGATCCGGCAATCACCAGGTTCAACGGGGTAAGTGGCTATGGTTCAGCCATATATTGGGAAATGCTGGTTCATACTACCCTCATTGTTTCATGTTTGATGCTTAAATTGCATTGTCCCAGGTCGCCATGGATCAGAACGAGAAGGCATTCCAGAAGCAGGTGGCGACCATGGCATCGCAAGTAGCTGTGATGGCTGTGAATCCCCTCATGGCTGGGCCAGGACGCTGTGTTCCTCGGCTCAAAGCGTCTTCTCACCAAGAAGTCTAAGAAGGCAGCCTGCGGCGGACGGCGCCGGGAAACCGTTGTGAGTTCATGCTGTGTGCTATCTGTGAGTCATATGTCATAGGTTCATCTACTTCATTTCATCTGTGTGAGATTTAGCTTAGCTGGGTCACAGAGCTCATACAATGCCATGTCGGGTTCGCTATTGTATCGCTGCAGATGGCTCAGATGCTTGTGGAACCGGTGACGCGCATCGTCACACCCTCCGGTCCAAGCGTGGCTGGAGGGAATGTTGGAACCCCTCCAACTTCCTATCTGCCGGATGTCGGGACTCCCCCCATCTCAGAGGCCATGGGAGTCTATGAACCTGCACCGGTTCCCAGCATGACCAGCCAACCGTTAACAGTCTCCAGTGGTCCGGTGCCCAGCCACTTCTCGTTGCGTCTGGTGCCGACACCGCAGGTCCTACCAGCTGTGACGCTGCCACCGGTGACCTACGCCGTACCAGGCGCATCCGTGGGCTCCGTGGGCTCCGTCTCGGTGCCACCGGCGGTACCGGTGACGTCGGCGCCCTTCACCGCTCCCAAGATGATGCCGGGGATGCCACCGATGCCCTTTCCCTTCACCAAGGAGTTTCACTTCACCGCGGAGCCGAGATCTCCGCAATCTCCACAATCTCCGCCATCTCCAATCCTCCAAGAGAGGCGATCCCTGGCTTCACAGAGAGCAGGAAGAGGAAAGTTGCAGGACATGGCTGCTGATGTGGAGAAGTTGTCCCAAGGTGGGCATGTTTTGGGTGTTTTGGGTGGCATAAACCTATGCCTACAGATACTTAACGCTCTAATCCTGATTCATCATGATTCATCCGACTTCAATTGCTATGGTATACTATGGTCATATTCGGTTTAATAAACATAAATTTTGGGATTGTGAAAGAACCCAGCCTTGAAGTGGATCTGTTTGGATCTGGATCTGCAGGGCAAGCGCAACTGCGTTCCGAGTTCGAGGCTCTGAAACAAATGGCCCGGAGTCAAAGTGAATCTGTGGAGCAGCTGAAGGGAATGGATCCTGGACCAACCAGAGTTTGGACGCCACGGAAACCCTTTGGCCACTTGAAACTTGAAATCAACGGCTTCAACTGGCCAAAGTCTCATCTGTTAATTGACAAGTCATTGTTTAGCGTGAATCATTGAGTTTTCAGGGGGTTAATGACTTGACCTATACCCAAATGCACAGCAGACCAACATCGGAGCATGGAAATTCTGTGAAAATTCGGAATTCAGGATGAATTGAGAACCAGGCTCCTGGTATCATCTGGCATCCTGGAATCCCAGTTCCCTTGGGATTTCCCCAGCTTCTCAAGTCCTCAGCCCCAGGTGAACGAGCAAAGACGGGTAGCCCGGGCCGCGCGCGCAAGGCCGGAGTCAGCGTCACAGAGGAAGCCGACCGCGAACGACCAGAGAAGGGTTGGGACGAGAGCGTGGCGGACTGCTTGCTGTGTGGCAAGTGACACGGAGAAGGGGAGAACCGAAGTGGTTTGGCACATCCTCTGGTTGGTGGTTTTGATTGATGATCCCAAGGACCAGCATGTTTTTTCAGGTTCAAACTACCAACCAGTGATGATTGACAGCTATGATTTGTCTTATTATCTCTGTGAGCCTGCAGTTGCTGCACTCCACTATGGGGAACACATGCTAACCATATGCTAACCATGTGCTTTCCACTCTCAGCTTTCTTTAGAGAACAGCGTAGTGCATCAATTGCAGTGGCCAACGTCGTTTCACCGCGGAATTTGGTTCATGTATCGATTGGACGCGTAGGGACAAAGGAGCCGTAAAATGCGAGGAAATCCGATGATGCAATGGCTCAAAATTGACTGCTGATGTTTGGATTTACAAAGTGCGATTTTTTTCCATAAATTTTCCATAAATGTTCCATTTTTCCAAGCAATTGACAGGCGGCTCGCTACTGGCGCAACATCGGTTTGGGCTTCCAGGTGCCCAAGGAGGCCAAGGACGGCCATCCGCAGCCATCCGGCCTTTTTTCGGCAGAAACCGCGGAGGAAAAACCTGGGATTTTTGACCAATCATCGGTAAGAAACCACAGAAAAACATGGGAATTCCCAATCAAATGTGGATTCATATGTTACTTAATCATTCAAAACTTGGATTGACTCCAAGCATATATTGGTTTCTACGAATATGAGCATATATGAAAACCAACAAAAAGATCCCAATGGTACTATAAATGGGTAGAAATCATCCCCAGATTATCATGGTTTATCGCATTGGGTTTATCACATGATGGGAAACATTTAGACAATAAACTGCAGAATAGGAGGCACACATGGGAAAATTGAGGTTGTTTTCTTTTAGGTTCCCTTCCATTTTGGAAAAAACAAACATAGAACACTGAAAAACAACAAAACTGATTGTTTTCATTGAACAAACTACCAATTCACATTGAAACATTGAAATGGATTGAAATGGATTGAAGTGGGATTTCTCCGATGATCTTTGGCGGTTTCCCGTGCACCGTGGATCGTTTTTGCAGGAGGGACACTACGTGGACAAGAAGTGCCCCTTCACCGGGCACCTCGGTGCTGTGATGTAGAAATATGAAGTGACTGGGTTACCCTCTGGTAATTTAATATGCTATTGAAAATGACCATAGAAATAGTGGATTTTCCCATTAAAAATGGTGATTTTCCATAGCTATGTTAGTTTACCAGAGGGTAACATGTTAGTTTACCAGAGGGTAACATTTGTTTTTTATGATGTAAACGTGTCAACATCGCCCCATTCACCAAAGCCAGACTTCACCTACACCTTCTACACCTTCACATCCCAGCCCCTGTGGGCGCCCAGGAATGTGAGCATCCGCGGTGCCATTTTGAAGGGCATGTGCATCTCCACCAAGATGAAGCGCACGATCATCATCCGACGCAACTACCTGCACTACATCAAGAACCTTGGAGCAACGGAATCACACCTGCCAACAGGGCTATCCACGAAAGTTTTGCTGAGTGATGAACATAACCATAAATACCCTCTGGTAAACTAACATAGCTATTGAAAATGGCCATTTATAGTGGATTTACCCACTAAAAATGGTGATTTTCCATAGCTATGTTAATTTACCAGAGGGTAAATACCTGAGCTTGAAGCGCTTGCTTAAGGCTTATACCCTTGAAGGTTGGCTGTGCCAAGTGATGCAGGCTGTAGACTAGGTTCCAGTTCCCGGCACTGGCGGAACAGAGCACAGATGGACTGATGACTTGTAGGAAATGCACCATTCGATTTTGGAATAAATGTGGTTCTATACAAAACTTGGGATGTGATTTTGTACTATTCACATATGTATGTATATATATATATATGTATGTATGTATATATATATATATATATGCTAATGTATCCTAAATTGAATGGAAAATGTGTAATCATATCCCAACACATCCCAAGGTTTGTTTCTCCCATATTTCTGTCCCCGTTGCCCTTGCCGTGACGATCCCAGGAAGTTCCATCGATTCGAGAAGAGGCTCCTTCGAAAGTTGCCATGGGATGCCATGGTGCAGATCTTATCCAAGTACCCTTTGGTAAACTAGCATAGCGATGGAAAATGGCCATAGAAATAGTGGATATACCCAGCTATCAAATGGTGATTTTCCATAGTTTTGTCAACGTTTACCAGAGGGTAATTTCTCAGTAATCCACGGAAGGTGTGAATGTCTTTCCTAATCCAAAGATCTTCGTGAATTGGGCACCGAATCTTTCCAATCTTCATGATTTTTTTGGGGGGAATCCGTACATTGCCCGGCTCAAGCACCTTTCGCACCTTCCTTGAGTCTTCGATCAGCTACCAAACTTGGACGCTCATCAGACGATGTCACTGGTCTGAGGAACGGCTTTGAGGAATGGAGGAGATTGCAGATCCATAGAAATCAGTGTTTTTGGGGCTGGGTCAGAGCCAGAATCATGTTTAGGTTCATCTTCTAGTGAATTTGGCTGTCACCTTTTTGGACCGATTCCTGGTTGGACAGTGCATCCTTCAACTGTTCTGAAGAATGGTCCATGATCATGATTTGATACGGGGGGATGGCCACAAGGTTCATAGATTTGTCTGATCCCGTCCGACTTGGGGGTCTTGGGCTACAAATCCTCAACAATGAGATGTTGAGCATTTGCACTCCCCAAATACATCCGAAATGGTCAAGCTCCATTTATCACATCCATGGCAACAGGGTCAAGAGTTTTTGACTGTCGCAGTTGGTCCAAGGAAAAAAACAACAGCTAAAGCCCCATGTTCATAAATTATCATCATGAACAAAACCTGTGTTTATTGTTTTGCCAGAACTCAGGTCCATGGTCAAGTCGATGGTGATCCTCGCCCTGGGTGCCCTGTGTCTCGGTGGTTTCCTGGGACTTGGCTTCGTTGCACCGCGGACGGCGTCGCCGTCGCCCGCGACGGCCGCGACGGTCGCGTCGCCATCGGCGTCCATCCATCCTGGCGAGGCCTCGAAGTTCACCACAGGCGGAGTGGGTTTTGGTGGGTTTTGGTGGGTTGCTGTCCCGAAGTTGGTTGGGATTCTATGGATATCTATGGATTCTGTATCCAAAATGACATTTTCTGCCTGCTTTTAACGGATGCTTGATCTTTGCCAAGGAGCTGCCGTGTGGCCCGCTGTTGCAATGGTGGCCACGGCAGTTGGACTCTTGGCACGTGCCAAGCGCTCCAAGATTGCCACGCGATCCGAGGCTTTGCACGGAATCTCATTCAGCTACTCCATGCAGAAGGATGCCTATGCTGACTATGAGTTCCTGAATGATGTGGGTTTCTGGGATTCTGATTTTCTTTTCAGCCTAGGAGAAACTTCTAACATACTCGAAATGCCAACTTGTTCTCCGCCTCCTCTTTGCCAGTTTGTCTTTGATCTTGCCTCTGGAGGTTAATGGCTTTAGTGACCATGGAATTCTGACATGCCGACTCTTTGCTAAGTGTTATTGTTTTTTGTGGGAAGATGTCATGATGAGACACTAAGGCTACTTGCCAGATGGCACACCATTGAACAGGGCCGGCAATTGCATCAACCATCCAGAGACGATTGGACCAGATCCACACACTCCTGGATCGCCATTGCCACGGGCCAATTTTACCAACTCTGTTGGCTACCTCCCAGATGGAACCCCACTGAATGCTGCAGGAAATGCCTTGAACCATCCTGAAACCATGCAGCCTGACACACATGCACCGGGCTCTCCGTTGCCCAGATCTTACTACGCTGCTGAAGTTGGCTACCTGGTGGATGGAACCGACATGTTGCGAGCCGGCAACCTCTCTGTGCAAGCAGGGGCCGCACCAGCACCGATTTCCTCGATGCCTTCCCCTGCTTCTCCTCCACCTGTGGCAGCCCCAACACCAGTGGCAGCCAGCTTTACAAGCACAGCCGAGGCTTTGCACGGAATCTCATTCAGCTACTCCATGCAGAAGGATGCCTATGCTGACTATGAGTTCCTGAATGATGTGGGTTTCTGGGATTCTGATTTTCTTTTCAGCCTAGGACCCAAGGATACATGCACAATGTATCACAATGTCTTGTAGGGATTGGGAGTACAATAGCTTGAAAAATTCTGTCAACTGCCGATTTTTGCTCGGATTCAACCCTGTTGCAAGCTTGCCTTTGGTTTTACCGCTTTGCCCATTGCTGAGTTTCATCTGTTCGGTGAGCATACAACCACCTTTTGATTATTTTGGTGTTTTTGGGGAAGATCCCAGCGAGATGTCATGATGAGACACTAAGGCTACTTGCCAGATGGCACACCATTGAACAGGGCCGGCAATTGCATCAACCATCCAGAGACGATTGGACCAGATCCACACACTCCTGGATCGCCATTGCCACGGGCCAATTTTACCAACTCTGTTGGCTACCTCCCAGATGGAACCCCACTGAATGCTGCAGGAAATGCCTTGAACCATCCTGAAACCATGCAGCCTGACACACATGCACCGGGCTCTCCGTTGCCCAGATCTTACTACGCTGCTGAAGTTGGCTACCTGGTGGATGGAACCGACATGCTGCGAGCCGGCAACCTCTCTGTGCAGGCGTGGCTGCTAGACATGGCCTAACCTTGAAATGGTACGGGAATGCACAGGAAGGTCAAGGACGATGCATGGTTGGGGTAAGGAATTGTGCAAACATCGCATCAGCAACACGATATGATGGCTAGTGGCACTAGTCAACGACTCTGAAATCGAAAGGTCGACTTTAGGATACTGCTTCTTTTGCTGGGATGTGGAAGTTCATATGTCAAAACACAATGGACATACAGTGACCAACGACAAGAACCAACAACGATTTTAATGGTTTGCTGGAAATCCCCGTTTAGTTGGATGACTTTACCATTAAAACCGCCATTTAGTCAGGGGATTTCCCAGCAATGGTTAACCACCCATCATCACCCATCCATGATTAGTGCTTAATTCCTCGATTATGAAAGATTTTTGTCATCTCTCCATGACATATCTCCATTATTGCTGGTGAAACAACTTTTGAACCATCCATCCATCCACCCATCATTGGAAAATTGATGGTTTTTCCAGCAAGACCTACTCCATATGTTGATCCGAGCATCGGAAGTGACTTGCCACACAACTACTGGGTGGTTAATTATAGTAGTACCATCCAGGAATAGTGTTCACTATTAAATCATTCCTAAATATAGAGTTACTTTAATGATAATGATAACGTTAATCATACTAACCAATAATATGGTGCCAATTGGATGGTTCGCAATAACCATTACTAGGGGCTAGAATTGTCACAACCAAGAACTATTGTCCATTCATGATGTGGTAGATTGACCTAACCAAAAGCAACCAATCATCAAAACAACCATTGGTGCATTATGGTTCCTAATATTTAATTACTGATAGCAAGATGGTTTCTACTAAATAACCCGCTCCATCCAGTTCCGAACCAAAAAATACCGTTACTGGAACTGTAGTGATTCCCAATAGAGTTACCATATACTATGGTGGCCATTGGATGTTCCTGCTAACCATTACAGTTCTTACTATGACCTTGCAATATTGTCTATATAATCGTTGTAATCATCTTACCATTATAGCAATAGGCATTACTATTAATAATACCATGAATATTACCAATAATAGGCAATATTTATTGGTTATTGGAAACCATCCACTGATGTTCATGCCAATACTGATTATGCATGGTTCTTCCTATTATAACCATATACAGCAATATAAGAAAATATAACAATAGTTACTTACGAGTATGTCCATTACTATTACTATGTTATTATTCCTAAATTGTGGACAAAACCTATTTGTTTCTTTGCTTGGAACTTGTGGAGAGCAAGTAATGTGTTGACGATATAGTTGCCAAAATGGCTATGCCATTTTGGCTCAAGCTGTTTCCCCCTGCGATCCAATACTTTCGAAAACACGCTCCGATCTTTTTGTTTGTCCATGGCGGCTTCTAGTCCAGTGGCTAGCGAGACTGGCACCGTGGGCTCCTTCTCGTTGATTGGGACAGATTTGGACGCAGGGGATGATTACATGGTTCTTTCCACCCAGGTGACCGAGGCTGCGCCGGCCGAGGTCACGACAGAGATTGAAGACGATCCCGCCATCACCAGGGAGACTCTGGCTTCGCAGCTCCAGGAGATGGAGAAAGTGATGGCAAACTTGGGTTTGGACCCCAAGCTGGAGACAAGTGTGGAATCGTCAAGTGGGCCACCCCCGTCGGGGTTCGTTCATGCAGAGGCGAAGACTCAGACCCAGACATCACGGGCTTTGGAGAAGGAGACGTTGACACTCCACATGGATCCGACCACAGAGACCTTCACCATCGAAGGCTGGACACCTTTGATTCCGGCCCTGCCTCACTCGGCTGCCAAGTATTTCAGGGACATTACGCATGGTGAGCTGCATTCTCTTTTGGATGCTTTCCGCAGTTCTCCATGGACGGCATCCTTGGTGGTCAAGATCGCAGAGGTTTACCACATTTCGAAGCGCGAGGCTGTCCACACACAGATGTTGAAACTCCGGCACACCACGCAGCGTGGGGGATCCATGGTGAATTTGAAAGAGAAGGACCCGGGAACTTCTCCGCAATTAGTCTGCTCTGATTGCAATGCACCGTGGGGTCAGTTATCCAAATGTTTGCTTTGTCAAGGCTCTCAGCCTGTTGACCTGTCAATGACACCTTTGTCAGTGATTGAGGTGGCCGGCCAGTCCTGGCAACTTAGGCTCACTGAGGCGGGACCGACTTGGGTCCCCACTGATACTAAGGTTACTAAGGCCTCAGGCTTTGTGGAAGTGGGAGATCTTGGCCGACCTCCCCCTGCGGCAGCTTCGGGCGCCGATACGGGGCTGGTTAGCTTTTCGGAGCAAGTTCCTGCCTCCCAGCGCATGACATTGCAGCAGCACGTGGTGGCTTTCGGGCAGGACAAGATCTTTCATCCTGATGGCGAACGCCCCCCCACGATGGATGATCGAGACTCTACTCAAACTGCTGTGATCTTCCACCCCAAGACCATTGAACTGATGCGTTTCAAGGTGGACTTGCTGGCCACGCCAGAAGAAGAGCTTAAGGAAGCGGCACAGGAGGCCAAGCGGAGGAAGAAGGAGATCCAACACCAGCAAGAGACTGTGGCGATGGATGATGAGCTGCATACGCTGACTGCCATCCAGCAGGGTGCACAGGAAACCCAGGATCCGGTCAGTGCCAAGATGCTCCGCCACGCTGACCTCCAGCAGTTTAGGTCCTACCTCAAAAGAAAACATGAAGAAAGTGGCCTCACCTCCTCCTACGAGGCTTTGGTGGCGGCCCAAACCACACAGGAGAGAGCGGCAGCCGCCAACAAGGCACTGGACGCAGAGTTCAGGGATCGACGCAAGGCCCTCAAGCCTATTGAAATACGTCCTTTTCACTGTGGACACCGGCCCTGCAAGAGGCATGGCAGAACAATTTGACATGGAGGCACTGAAGCAACCCTACCTCCGAATGAAAGAACTCATCAAGGATAACAAGCCTCCGCTTTCCCAAGACCGCCTCATGACGGAGTTCCCCAAGACGCAACTTGACATGTACACCACGGGGACGGAGATGATATCTTCCCAAGAGGCCCAGTTAGCACGACTCCTTCCGCCGGACAGCCTGGAACGCAAGTATGCAATCCTTGACTCCATCCTGCAGTACCACAAAGGTGAAGTCAGAGCCTGGGGCGGAGAGTGGGAACTGCGACAGGGCCCGCTCACGGCACCTGCCTGGGCGAAACCGGCACCCACGACTGAGGTCTTGGCTTTGGAACTCAGGACAAACCCGCTGGGCACCTCCTTCTACACGCCCACAACCTACACAGAACAGGTGGTCCTGCAACAGATTTCCGAGGGCAAGCGACCCGCCTTGGACAAGATCATTGGCTTCTTCTGGGCTCCGGGGACGGCGGTAGCTTCTGGCACCGACGACACCCACCTGGTTCGGAGGGTGCAATCATGGGACCTTCCTTCAATGATCACGATGCTTGGACAGTCCTGGACGTTCAAGGAGCTCTACCAGGCTTGGTGTGGCATGCCGCTGATCGTCAAACCGATGCGCAGCGGGCATGGGGAAGGCATCCGCCAGAAGAAGATGGCAGAGTTGGCGGCACACCGGCAGAGGACTTCAGAGATCAAGTCCTTCCTCAATAGTGTGGGCCTCCGGTTTCCCCAATCACAACATGAAATCAAGCTGCTCTACAAGGAGATTGGCAGCTTTTTGGCTGCCTCGGTTTTCTTAGCCAGAACCCCAGCGGTGGTCTTGGACTTGCCCGAGCAGGACATCCAGGACACAAAGGAGCAGCTCCGTTTTCGAGCGGTCTGTGATGAGCGCATCACCTTGCCCTTGGATGCTTTCAGGCAGCTCCCGGACGTCTTCCAGGCGCTGTCAGCCACTCTGGGGGCCCACAGCATGGTGCAAGTGCAGGTTGCCTGGCGGTGCAACTGTGAGCTATGGTGGGTTGCCCTGGTTCCCCATGAGAAGGCGGAAAGCTTTTATTGCCGTCTGGGCTACTCCCAGGCAGAGATTGATGGCTTCCTGAAGACTGCGCTGGAACCGGAGGCTCTGCAGGCGACTACGGTAGCTTCTGGCACCGGTAAGTACCCAGAGCTCTCCCTGGAGAACGTGGTGTCCATATGCAGCCCCAAGTACAAGAGGGAGCACTACGGCCACCGGGGAGTCCATGCTTTTTGGGGCCGCACGGATTGCGGGCTCATCCTCAGCAGTATCAGTCCATGGGAACTGAAGACGAAGGAGGCTGGAGTGACTCGTGGAGGATGGGTCTGCAAGGCCTGCCAGGGCTTTTGGCGACAAGGGAAAGGAGCTTCCCGCTTTGTCCAATTGCTTGGAGAACATCGGGGAGTCAAAGTCAATCTCCAACTCATCTTGGATGAGCCACCCCAACAGCTGTATAACAGCTGGGTGAAGTCAAGGCTGGAGTACTACAAGCGAGTGGAGCCGATTGCGGCCCCGAGAGATGTGGCATTGCAAGTGGACCCTGACCACACCCAACGCTTGAAGTTTTCTTGCCAGAATGGCCATGCCAATGTCTCCAACGCCATCTGGTCGGTCCTGCTGAGCAACCCTGACCTCGAGGGCTTGCAGAAGATCAACGCACTGGCAGCGAGCAGAGTCCGGCCGGCCTGAGAGTAGAGTTTTTGCGAAGGGCTGTTTTACTGATCTGGTGGCCTGGTAGCGTCTTGCACCAACGTCACCACTCGGTTCTGCAGACACCTCCTCCTTTTGTATGAATACCATTGGTTGTGCACCACGACAAGGGCCAAGACAGGGGCCAGACCGCTGGGATGCCAGCTCACACAGTGAAAAGGGAAACCTGCATGTAGCTGCCTCAGAATCATTTACAGCATGCTGTTATTTGACCATTGCTGTGTTTTACCATTTTTGACCTTGGTTTGATGTTATTGGTACCCTTTCGGGCTCCGCCCATTACGCTGATGTGACAGATGTCCATGTGACTTGCACTCAGTTCTGTCCAATTGCAACTCGGATTGTTTTTCCGGGTCTTTCGGTGTTGTTC